GTAGTGCTTGATGATGGCATATTTATTTCTATTTTTTAAGAGAACTAAATCTACATATTTTAGCTAAAAATTGAAGTATGTCGGAAAATGCCACCAACTACTACGAAACGTTGAAACAACTAATAAATCAATATCACTTGATCGCCGGAGCCCTCACCGTCACCACCAGTGATCACCAGCGTGACTAAAGTCACAATGACCTCCATCTGAATCTTCACTCTCTCCGTCAACATCAACCCTATCTTCATTAAAACCACCATCCCTTTCCCCCGCCACCATCCTCTGCCTTATCACCATCATTACTTCTCTCATTACCATCAATATAACAAAATTGTAGATAGTGAATTTTTCTCACAGCAACACCACAACTGATACAGTCATTGTCACTGTCACTTCTGTTGACAACAATATCATTACGTCGTTGATTTTCTGATTAATTATGATTTAAATCTGTTAATAATTGGCATTTTTTTCCGTATTATTCGGAAAAATAATTCAGTGCATGTCTAGCCCAGGTCACCAGCGCCAGCCAGCTGGTGGCGTGATATGTGAGCTTACCGTGACCAAAGAAAAAATAAAATCGAAATGGAAAAAATCCACAAAAGCACGACGATGGTAGATTACCATCTCACCGAGTAATGCTCATGAGTGTGAACTTTCAACTTCCTAGTAATATAAGGCATAAATTGAGGTTATCTGTGGAGCAATATATCGTCTTGGAGATAAGCTCGTTTCAGAGAGGCAGTTGTTTTTGGGATGACACTACAGAGTGAACTGCCGTGAGCGTTGATGACAACACACAGCTACAGAGTAAGTTTTTACTGTGACAAAGATTTGCTTTGTGTAGCGCTTTATCAAGTTATTCTGCGCTGTATAACCCTTGCGGTTTAGCGCTACTTTTGATTTTAATAATTATCACGTTATTGACTTGATAAAAGCAAAAACACGTACAAAACTGGACTTCCAGTACAGGTACAGCCATAACAGTTGCTTTGGTATTATGTTGACATAGATAATAGTCAACTATGTATCTAAATGTTTCAGCCGGAAGCAAGTAGTTCGGGAGATGATGTTCTTTTATTATTAAACAAAATTTAATACATCTGCAGTGTGTTGCTACCAATATATCCATGTTGTATGAGTAAAAGGCTGAGACATAATACCAGTAATATAATACATATTTTGGAAATGAATGAAAGTTCTTTTTTACTTTATGTACATATTTACAAGATGTGAATATTTAAAATATACAAACAGGGAGGAGAATGGATAAAGTGTTGCCAGAAAAACCAATGACAGTTCCTCCTTATGCTAAATATTGTGTCTGGCACCCAGAATCCAGTCTTACCATATATAAGACAATCGAGTACAAATATACGAGTGTGTGTGTAGTGTGTGTTGGTTGGTTGTGTGTTGTGTGTGTGTGTGTGTGTGTGTGTGTGTGTGTGTGTGTGTCTTTCTTTCAACACACCGGCCGTATCCCACCTAGGCGGGGTGGCCCAAAAGGAAAAACAAAAGTTTCTCCTTTTACATTTAGTAATATATACAGGTAATATATACAGGAGAAGGGGTTACTAGCCCCTTGCTCCCGGCATTTTAGTCGCCTCTTACAACACGCATGGCTTACGGAGGAAGAATTCTGTTCCACTTCCCCATGGAGGTAAGAGGAAATAAACAAGAACAAGAACTAGAAAGAAAATAGAAGAAAACCCAAAGGGGTGTGCATATATATACTTGTACATTTTAAAATCATTTTAAAATCCTAGGCATTTCACCAATGGCCCTCTCAATCGAGTTTGCAAGTGCTACCACCCCTGCCCAAGAGAGATGTACCCCATCCCTTGCATACTTATCATGTTTGCCATAAAAGTTGTCCCAGTTGTCATTGAATGGGATTGCAAGTTCCTTGCAGTATCTGTCTAGCCAGCAATTTACACCAATTGCCCTAGACAACCATCCATTGCCCACTCCCCTTCTAGGCAAGATGCTACATATGAATCTATAGCTGACCTGTACTTATCTAGCCACTCTTCTTTCCTATATATATATATATATATATATATATATATATATATATATATATTATATATATTATATATATTATATATATATATAAAATATATATATATATATATATATTACCTGGAGTTTACCTGGAGAGAGTTTCGGGGGTCAACGCCCCGCGGCCCGGTTCTGTGAACAGGCCTCTGGTGGATCAGCGCCTGATCAACCAGGCTGTTGCTGCTGGCTGCACGCAAACAACGTACGAGCCACAGCCCGGCTGATCAGGAACTGACTTTTAGTGCTTGTCCAGTGCCAGCTTGAAGACTGCCAGGGGTCTGTTGGTATCCCCCTTAGTGTGCTGGGAGGCAGTTGAACAGTCTCGGGCCCCTGACACTTATTGTATGGTCTCTTAGTACTAGTGACACCCCTGCTTTTCATTGGGGGGATGGTGCATCGTCTGCCAAGTCTTTTGCTTTCGTAGTGAGTGATTTTCGTGTGCAAGTTCGGTACTAGTCCTCTAGGATTTTCCAGGTGTATATAATCATGTATCTTTTCCCTCCTGCGTTCCAGGGAAAAACAGGTTTAGAAACCTCAAGCGCTCCCAGTAATTGAGGTGTTTTTTTCTCCGTTATGCGCGCCGTGAAAGTTCTCTTAAACCGGGGGGGGTTGTGGGTTTAAACTGAGGGACGCCCCGTGTCCTGCTCACCTCTCCATAGGATGGAAAGGCTCGTGATAGGCGCTTCTTGCAGTTCTTGAGAACACAGAGTTCCATGAGTCTGGCCCTGGGGCAGAGTGCATGGGCATGTCATTTATCGCCTGTTCGAAGTCATTTGGCGTCAGGATAACATCGGATAGGCTTGTGTTAATCAAATTTTGTGGCTCTCTCATAAAAAATTCATTTTGATCTTCGACTCTCAGTCTGGTTAGCGGCTTGCTAAAAACTGAGTCATATTGGGACTTGAGTAGCTCACTCATTTCCTTGCTGTATCTGTGTAGGGACCATCTTGTTTAAGTAGGGGTCCAATACTGGACGTTGTTCTCGATTTTGATTTGGCATAGGAGAAGAAATACTTTGGGTTTCTTTCGATTTCATTTATATATGCAATATATATGCAATACGATCACAGTAAACAGGTGATTTTAAAGTATGCAAAACAACCACTGTGAAAGAGTAGTGAAATTCCAAGCAATTTCAATAGAATTTCAATTTCAATAAAACAATAAAACGTCTACTGAAAGGCAAAGATGAATTAATTAAATAATTTACTTCCACTAATCCATCTTTACCTTACATGTATGGACTAATAAAAACACACAAACCAGGTAATCCAATCAGACCAATTATAAGCTCCATAGGATCAGTTTCGTATAAATTATCCAAATGGCTTGTTGACATTTTGAGCCCTATTGTTGGTAAAATTTCTAACTTTAACGTTAAAAACAACTTAGATTTAGTTGATAAATTAAGCTCCTTGACTGACTTAAATGATTTTAACATGGTTAGTTTTGATGTTACTTCCTTGTTTACGAAAGTTCCTGCTGATAATTTATTAAGTTTCTTATCTGAAGGACTCGTTATTTATGATTTACCATTGCCAGTTCCTACAATCATTAAACTTATTAAACTTTGCATTGTTGATGCAAAATTTGTATTTAATGATAAGTTTTACACTCAGAAATTTGGTATGGCAATGGGAAATCCTCTTTCACTTGTTCTTAGTAATCTATACATGGAATTTTTTGAAACAAGATTGCTTAACACAGTCCTCCCTAATAGAGCAAAATGGTTCAGATATGTTGATGATATTTTATGTCTTATGCCCAAGAATGTAGAAATACTCCATTTCCTTGGCAAATTAAATAGCTTAGCCCATTCTATAAACTATACTGTTGAGTTTGAGGAAAATAACTCAATATATAAAAATATGTTGGTTCTCCCTTACCATGAAAACTTGGTTGATATGCCTTCTCTTCTTAAGACTTTTAATATTAAAGTTGTATTTAAAATCTTGATACAGTAAAAAAAAACTTTTGATTAAGAATTCCCCTCAAAATGTTGACGGATGTGTCTATAAGATTCCTTGTAAAATTTGCAATAAAGTTTATTATGGTCAAACTGGTAAAAGTCTTGAACTTAGATTAAAACAACATAAATATAGCATTAGAACTGGACAAGATTCCAATGCTCTATTTATTCATGTGAGAGATTTTAACCATCCAAGTGATTTTCAAAAAGTTGAGAAAGTTGTATCAAGCAAGTCCATGGTTGACAGAAATATAATTGAATCTTGTTTCATAAAAAGCAGTTTCGAAAATAATATGAATATTTCCTTTGGTTTATATAAATTAGATTCATTTAAAATTAAAAAAATTTGGGAAGAGTTTAATAATACATTGGACAAATAATAAACCTTATTTCTTGGGTAAATATTTTGTTAATGGATGTCGTGAGGACTGTCTAGTTGGACCAGCGGACTACTGCAGTGTTCTCTTTTCTTGTGGGGTCGGTATTGTCGCACGTCAGGTGTTTCTTTGTTGTGGGAGTTGAGTGTGTGGTGTAGTCCTAAGCCCTTTAATTGTTTCCTTTGATGTATTACTTTCATAGTTCCTTGACAATGTGAGTAGTCACGAAGCGCTTGGAATTTCACTACTCTTTCACAGTGATTGTTTTGCATATATATATATATATATATAAATATATATATATAATATTATATATATATATATATACTATATATATATATTTAATAAATATATATATATATATATATATATATTATATATATATATATATATATATATATATATATATATATATATATATATATATATATTGTTGTGGTTCAAACAAGCTTCATTACTGCAGTAATTTTAAACAGATTTCACCAGACAGTGCATATCTTTTAAGTGGGACTCTGAGAGAATAATATTCTTCCCTCCCCCCCCCATCCACAATTGTACTAACTGGATAATATTGCCGTATGTATTATTCATAGGTGAAGCCGCATCAAGAGCATGTAGTGAAGGTAAAGAGCTTTCTGCCGCCTCACGCTGCGGAGCCGGAAATCCACGTGTTGGAGCTGAGTGAGGAGCTCCTGAGGTACGCCCCAAGCCTCTCCAACCTCCTTGCTTCCGACAACGAGTTCTCTGATTCCCAAGGCACAAACTCCAGACTCAACCACTTTGATGCCTTCAGAAGACGGGAAAACTTCCAACTGTGGGAAGATGGCTTTCCACGAACTCTAGAAGGTGACGATGAGGAAAGAGGTGTGTAGAGAGTGAAATGTTATGTTTCTTTTCCAGCACACTTCTGGAAAGACAGCAATTGAATGAATGATAATGAATGTGTTTTCATCCTCGGGTTACCCTGCCTTCAAGAGAGACAGCCCTGAGTTATATACACAAGTTGAATGTTCCTTTAACCCTTAGGCTGTCCAAATGTAGATCTACGTTCTCTTGCGTAGTGCTCCGAACGTAGATCTACGTTTTATTTTACATGCCTTCAAATGTAAAATAAAACGTAGATCTACGTTCGAAGCACTACGTAAGTGAACGTAAATCTACAATCGGAGCACTACGTGAGTGAATGTAGATCTACGTTGTGGATAACAACACTCGGTCAAAAAACTATGGACCATACAGGCTATGGTTATTTCCTGATGACTGTTTATATTTTCCTATGTGTAGCAGTGTCAGAGATGCAGACACACACAGAGTGCCACCATTAACTTGTAAATTTCCCAGTTTGTTTATACCGTCAAATTGTAGATGAAATAAGTATTGTCGACAAGTATGAAGACAAAACCAGATTACATAACCAGCTTTTATTGCGACGTTTCATTCTGCGTTGAGCTTTATCAAATTACGACTTGTAAAAGCTCTACACAGTATAAACGTCTTTTAAAAATTACTTCTCAGGGTACCAGTATTTTTTTTTATTAATAATTTCCACTATCTATATTTATAGATGGGGTAGTAAGAGAAGTAAATGCGAGGGTCTTGGCAAGAAGCGTGGAGTTAAAAGATAAAGAATCACTCATAAAGTGAGAGTTGTCACAGTTGCTCTTTGCTGATGACACTGTGCTCTTGGGAGATTCTGAAGAGAAGTTGCAGAGATTGGTGGATGAATTTGGTAGGGTATGCAAAAGAAGAAAATTAAAAGTGAATACAGGAAAGAGTAAGGTTATGAGGATAACAAACAGATTAGGTGATGAAAGACTGGATATCAGATTGGAGGGAGAGAGTATGGAGGAGGTGAATGTATTCAGATATTTGGGAGTGGACGTGTCAGCGGATGGGTCTATGAAAGATGAGGTGAATCATAGAATTGATGAGGGGAAAAGGGTGAGTGGTGCACTTAGGAGTCTGTGGAGACAAAGAACTTTGTCCTTGGAGGCAAAGAGAGGAATGTATGAGAGTATAGTTTTACCAACGCTCTTATATGGGTGTGAAGCATTGGTGATGAATGTTGCAGCAAGGAGAAGGCTGGAGGCAGTGGAGATGTCATGTCTGAGGGCAATGTGTGGTGTGAATATAATGCAGAGAATTCGTAGTTTGGAAGTTAGGAGGAGGTGCGGATTACCAAAACTGTTGTCCAGAGGGCTGAGGAAGGGTTGTTGAGGTGGTTCGGACATGTAGAGAGAATGGAGCGAAACAGAATGACTTCAAGAGTGTATCAGTCTGTAGTGGAAGGAAGGCGGGGTAGGGGTCGGCCTAGGAAAGGTTAGAGGGAGGGGGTAAAGGAGGTTTTGTGTGCGAGGGGCTTGGACTTCCAGCAGGCATGCGTGAGCGTGTTTGATAGGAGTGAATGGAGACAAATGGTTTTTAATACTTGACGTGCTGTTGGAGTGTGAGCAAAGTAACATTTATGAAGGGGTTCAGGGAAACCGGCAGGCCGGACTTGAGTCCTGGAGATGGGAAGTACAGTGCCTGCACTCTGAAGGAGGGGTGTTAATGTTGCAGTTTAAAAACTGTAGTGTAAAGCACCCTTCTGGCAAGACAGTGATGGAGTGAATGATGGTGAAGGTCTTTCTTTTTCGGGCCACCCTGCCTTGGTGGGAATAGGCCAGTGTGATAATAATAAAATAATAATAATAATTTCCACTAATGTTTTTTAAAGCTATTTTATTTTGTGGTCATTGCATATGCAAAACAATCGAAGACCCAGATAATTACAAAGCTTTATAATTATCCTAAATCTGGAGACTGTTATGTAAAGGATATATATTGTAATGCATACATATGTAATGGCAGTCTGATGATGCAATAGCACTTGACGATATGTCGTAAAATCATGGTTACACAAGATCATACGAATGCAGCCGAAATTATTAAAATTTATATTCAGAGTTGACCTTTAGTGACAAGCTCATTATGTTGGACCTATAACTTACTAATTTATAACTTATTTCAAAGGCACGCAGGTTATGTAATATGCGATACATACTTATGCGATTAATCATCTGGAAGCACTGTGACATAGTCGTGAAATGTTTTAACAGCAAATCATAGATTCACCTGATTATTATAAATATTAGGTGTAATTGTGTGACAATATTATTACCACTAAATTAATATTTATACTTTTCAACTCGCAGGATGCTTCAATCTACGAACATATTCCGATTTCCTGGAAGACTATGTATGATGAAGATATTTAACACAATATTTCTGTTTAGCAAAAAAAATTTCAAAATGAACTAGGTTATTCATTTCAATACTCGGGACGTCACAAACTGAAAGAACTCAATGAAGGGATCAACCCTCCAATGTTTATATTTAAATTAACTCTATTAGGACAAAAAAAAGTCACTCAAGTCCTACTGGTTGGTTATCCTACTTTCTCTACACATATCCCTCTAAGTAAATGAATAATATCTATTAGACTAACTTTGTGTATCCTGAATAAACTCTCTGACTTTTTGGTATCTGCGTTCTACCATAGCTCATAGTTGATAATTCGTATGTAACTAGTATGTGGTAATACTGATATAACTTATTACTCTACCTAACACTTGACGAGAACTGCACGGTCAAGACTGTCATTTCTTCCCTACAAAAGCGAACTGCTACTACCCTTAATGTTCTTAGGAAAAACTTAACGAGTCTGCTGTATCTATCTATAACTATTTATATGAAGAATACTAAGGTGTTCTAGTGCAAGCTTGTCATCAAGGACATTCCTAAGATATTTACAAAAATATAGATTGCAGGGCCGTCTCAGTTAGAATAAAAATTACCCTAGGTTGCAAGGATCAAAAGAGACATTCGAAAATTAGTATCATAATTTTGAACATAAAGCCAACACGCTTCGCTAGTATTGATTAAAATATCAACACCAACTGTGAATTAAATCTGCAGTAAATTAGCGTTAAACGTTTTGTAACTCCCTAGACGTAGGTCAGCTGATGGAAATAAAAAATAGTTATCAGTTAATCTACCTTGTGGGCCTACATCTCTTATATCTATCAGCTAATCTACCTTGTGGGACCACATTTAAGATATCAATAAGTCAATTTACCTAGTGGGCCAACATCTACGATATCTAGTGGGTCCAAACTAACTAAACATTACTAATGAATATTTGTGTTTACAGTCGTTGCTTCCCTGGACCTTAGAGGGAATAATTGGTGGATTTTTCCGGAGTGTGTCGTTCGATCATATTTTTTAGGCAAATTTTTTTGTCTTATTTTCGCCATTTCTGGTGCTATTTAAACCGATGTAAGGTGATATGCAGAATTTTAAACATTCTTTTATCTAATTTGTGAATGGTGTAAATTGTTTTTGTAGTTTTCAGATGTTAATATATTTGTGTACACTTTTTTTCAGTTACATATCAGATTTTAGTGAATATTTTAATTCTTCAAAGTATAAAAAGGCACAATACCATGACTAAAGGTCCAAGTCTGATTGAAACGTCGTCTTAAGCTTCATTCTCCATGTGAGGGTTATTTGTGTATTTTTAACTCTTTGGTCATCTCCTGCAGGTCGCGCCTCTGGTGAAAGCGTGGGAACAGACGTAGCTGATGAAGGTGGTGGAAGGTATGAAGTTGGACGGTGGGTGGAGGGTGCTGAGCTGTGGGAAGCCAGCCGCGGAGACGCGCTGGTCCAGCCAAGACGGCGGGAGAGTTTTGTTCGCAAAGGAGAGAGGAGAGGTGAAGAGAGGAGGAAAGTGCACCAAGACCATATGAGAGCAACGGAACGTGATCCGCGTACATACGGAGTCGTAGGTGACAGGAACGTAAACAAACAAGATGGAATAGTGAATAACACGCGTCAGTGGGCCGTGAATGACGGATGGGACGGGGAAATAAATTCTGGCTTTGACGAAGATCCGAATGATGAAAATTACAGGAGAGCAAACGTCAGAGGAACGAATTACAGACAGGGCGAAGGAATGAGTAATGAAGAAAGCGAGGAAATAAACGACAGATGGCATGAGTTGGTGGTGGATCCGCCACACAGAGGAATGATGCGAAGAAGACAAGGAGAAATAGTTGACAAAAGGGATAGAAAACTGAGCGACACGCAAGATGGGGGGACAAGTGACGGTCGTGCCGGGGGCACGAGTGACGGGCATGACGAATTAACGAGTGACGAACGTGAAGGAGGGACAAGTGACGGACAAGATGAAGGAACGAGCGACGGGCAGAATAATAATGGCAAGGAGAATGCAAGGAGGAAGACGGTAGCTCGGAGGAAAGGGCGGGTGGAGGCTAGACGCGACGGACACAGCGACAGTAGAGGGGACAGTCAACACGACAGGCACAACCAGCTTCCTAGGACTCACGCAGAGCCCAGGAGCCACGCCAACCCTCCAAAACCAAAGCCCCAAACAGAACCCTCGCCCAGCCTTCTAAGACCCACACCCTACCCAGAACCCACGTCCGAAACAAGGGTAGAACTAAGGGAAAGGGAGGAGAAGGGAAAGGGAAGAGAGGAACCAAAGGAGGATTAGGAGGAGAAGAGGGAGAAGGAGAAATTGTGGGCGAGAGAACGGATGAGCCACAAAGCAATGGAAAGGCGGTGGAGAAACATAAGGGAATGAAAGAGGGGCATATAAGAGAGCGTGAAGAAGCGGAGGAGGAGGAGGAGGGAAGAGAGATGATACAAATAAAAGAAGAATTAATAGTGAATCAGAAAAGAGGCGAGAGAAGATTACGAGGGAGAGGAGGAAAAGATGAGGCAAAGGAAGAAAATGAGGATACTGAAGGAAATAAGGAAAACCAAATAAAAGGACATGAAGAAGAAAGCGGGAGACTTAGCCATGGAACAAGACAAGAACCTTGGAGGAGCAGAAGGTGAAGAAAGATATGAAGAGCAGGGAAACAAGGAAGAGGCAAACAACAAAGAAAGACGGAGAAGAAGACAGAGAGGAAAAACCCAATATCGACAAGATAAAGATAGTGACAAACAAACAGAGTCTGAGAATGATAGGAGAGTTGAAGGAGGCAATAGCAGATTGACAGAAGTCAGAGATGCTGGTGATATTGTTGGAGCTGTTGGTGTTGCTGGAAATGGTGGTGGAATTGTTGGTGATGCTGGAGTTGTTGGTGGTAATGCTGGAGTTGGTGGTAATGCTGGAATTGTTGGTGATGCTGAAGTTGCTGGAGGTGATGTTGGAGGTAATGCTGGAGTTGGTGGAGGTGATGTCGAAGGAAATGCTGGAGTTGGTGAAGATGATGCTGGAGGTGATGTTGAAGGAGTTGTTGGTGTTGAAAGAGGTGTTAGAGGTAATGCTGGAGTTGGTGGAGGTAATGTTGGAGGTAATGCTGGAGTTGAAGGTGATGCTGGAAGTGATATTGAAGGAAATGCTGGAGGTGATGTTGGAGGTAATGTTGGAAGTGACGTTGGAGATAATGCTGGTAGTGATGTTGGAGGTAATGCTGGAAGTGATGTTAGAGGTAATGCTGGAAGTGATGCTGGAGGTAATGCTGGAAGTGATGCTGGAGGTAATGCTGGAAGTGATGCTGGAGGTAATGCTGGAAGTAATGCTGGAGGTAATGCTGGAAGTGATGTTGGAGTTGGAGGAGGTGATGCTGGAGGTGATGCTGGTGTTGGTGGAGGTAATGTTGGAGGTAATGCTGGAAGTGATTTTGGAGGTAATGTTGGCGGCAACGCTGGAGCAGGAGGAGGTGATGATGGAGGTGATGTTGGAGGTATTATTGGAGGTGTTAAAGGTGTTGTTGGAGGTGATGCTGGAGTTGCTGGAGGTTATGTTGGAGGTGGTATTGGAGGTAATGTTGAAGGTGACACTGGAGGTAATGTTGAAAGTGGTACTGGAGGTAATGTTGAAGGTGGCACTGGAGGTAATGTTGAAGGTGGTACTGGAGGTAATGTTGGAGGTAATGCTGAAATTGGTACTGGAGGTAATGTTGGGAGTAATGTTGAAGGTGGCACTGGAGGTAATTTTGAAGGTGGTATTGGAGGTAATGCTGTAGGTAATGTTGAAGGTGGTACTGGAGGTAATGTTGAAGGTAATGTTGAAAGTGGTACTGGAGGTAATGTTAAAGGTGGTACTAGAGGTAATTTTGAAGGTGGTATTGGAGGTAATGTTGGAGGTAATGCTGAAATTGGTACTGGAGGTAATGTTGGGAGTAATGTTGAAGGTGGCACTGGAGGTAATTTTGAAGGTGGTATTGGAGGTAATGCTGTAGGTAATGTTGAAGGTGGTACTGGAGGTAATGTTGAAGGTAATGTTGAAAGTGGTACTGGAGGTAATGTTGGAGGTAATGTTAAAGGTGGTACTAGAGGTAATTTTGAAGGTGGTATTGGAGGTAATGTTGGAGGTAATGCTGAAATTGGTACTGGAGGTAATGTTGGGAGTAATGTTGAAGGTGGCACTGGAGGTAATTTTGAAGGTGGTATTGGAGGTAATGCTGTAGGTAATGTTGAAAGTGGTACTGGAGGTAATGTTGAAAGTGGTACTGGAGGTAATGTTGGAGGTAATGTTAAAGGTGGTACTAGAGGTAATTTTGAAGGTGGTATTGGAGGTAATGTTGAAGGTGGTTCTGGAGGTAATGTTGAAGGTGGTACTGGAGGTAATGTTGATGGTGGTACTTTAGGTAATGTTCACGGTGGTACTGGAGGTAATGTTCAAGGTGGCACTGGAGGAAATATTCAAGGTGATACTGGAGGTAATGTTCAAGGTGGTACTGGAGGTAATGTTCAAGGTGGTACTGGAGGTAATGTTCAAGGTGGTACTGGAGGTAATGTTGGAGATAATTCCGGTGTTGCTGGAGCATTTGTTGGAGGTGATGAAAGAATTTCTAGAATTAATATTAATGGTGACACTGAAGTTGATGGGGGTGATGTTGGAGTTGATGGGGGTAATGTTGGAGTTCATGGGGATGATGTTGGAATTCATGCGGATGATATTGGAGGGGATGTTGGAGTTGCAGGAAAAGTTGGAAATGATGGAGGTAATGGTGGTGATGATGTTGGAGTTGACAGAGGTAATGTTGGAGGTGATGCAGTAGATGATGTTGAAGATGGTGTTGATAGAGGTGATGCTGGAGAAAATGGAGGTGGTGTCGGAAGTAATGCTGGAGGTAGTGTTAGAGGTAAGAGAGGTGATGTTGGCAATGATGCTGGAATAGGAGATGCTCCAGTTGACAGAGATGCTGAAAGTGATGTTGGAGGTGATGATGGAGGAGATGGAGGGAATACTGGAGTTAATGTAGGGGATTTTAATGTAGATGGGCCTAGAGATGGCGTTGGAGATGTTGCTGGAGTTGATGTTGGAGGTAATGAGGGAGCTGATGTCGTAAGTGCTGTTGGAGATGATGGTGGAGGTGGTGAACGCACTGGAAAGGGGAGTGCAAAGCACAAGGCTCAACAGGGTGGAAAGAGCAGAAGCAGAGAACACTCTATAAAACGCATACGAGGCGAACAAACGTATAGAACAGCACTAGTTCCCGAAGTAGCAAGAGCAGGAGCAGCAACAGCAGCAGCAGCAGCAGCAGCAGCAGCAGCAGCACTACTTGATAAGATTACTGCTACGAGACAAAAGAGTGCAGTCAGATCAGAGAGTTTGAGGACGAACGTGACGCGCAAGGACTATGATGATGGACTTGTTGACAGAGAATCACGGCACAAGACAACAAATGCCAAGGTACGAAATGATGGTCGGCAAAGAAAGTATCGCAGCGACAGCCGAACGAATGAAGGCAGACTATGAGCTGAATGATTACGTTGGGAGACCGAAAGCGACAAAGGACAAAAGGAAGGATGGCAAACAAGAGAAGATGGTGGAACAAACAAAGAATATCGGTCGATTGGAAAAGAGATAACGAGCAGGAGGAAAAAAATTAACAAGCAAGGAAAGAGAATGGTCGGTTGAGAGACGAAGGGAAGGAAAATAATGAAACAGAAGGATGATCAACGAGACGAAAGATAATCCGAGTGCAGAGCTGAGGTGATCAAACAATGAAGGACATTTTGGACTGAAAGATGGCAGAACAAAAGATAGAGGGACCAAGACAGGAAGGAAATGACTAAAAGTTGAACACGATGGGCAAAGACACAGAACGGATGAAGGTCGTTTTCGAGAGAGAACGGGGAAACCTAAAGAAGGTGTCAGAGAACTGGAACGGAAGGATGGTCACAAACTAGATCGAACGAACAACGGAAAAAGAGAAAATTATAAAAACATCGAAAAAGGAGAAGGTTTTCGGACTCTGGAAGAAAAAGATGGCCGAGCGCAAGTACGGGAGGAGGATGGCCGAAGGAGAAGAACAAATGGTCAAATAGAAGAGGATAATCGAATGAAGGAAAAGGCCCATGGAATGAAAAAACGAGAAACCAAAGAGAAAGAAAGATTAAGCGATCGCGGAACAGAAATAAGCAGCAACAACAAAACAACACGGAAATACAATAACCGAAGTGAACTGGAGTACACTGGATCAAACTACAATAAAATTGAGGGAGATAATTACGAACCCGATGAACAAACTGATTACGAAAGTGAGGCAAGAAGTTACGAGTCGGATGTGGAGATCCAAGGACGGAGTGTTGCAGGGGATGATGAAGCGAACGTCAGGCGCACTAAAAACTACGAAAGATTGGTCGAGGGACTCTCTGAACCAGAAGAAATGCATAAAACTGGAAGAAATGACGGTGGTAGAAGGAAACTGAGCTATGGCCGAGCAGTCAGACATGACAAAACATTACTGAATAATCATAGGATGGAAGAAACTAATAATCGAACAGGGCAACAAAAGTATTGGCGAAGAAGAGAGGATGGTGAAGCAGATGACCAGGATAATAGCCGAATAATACTAAAAATGGATGGGCGAAAGGGAGAGGATGGTGGAATAGATGACTGGAATAATGATCGACTAGAACAACGGTATAATAATAGAAGAGGGAACACGAGGTATGATCAGTCGAAAGAAAGGAATGATGGGAGGTTGAGAGGAGAGGACAGTCAAATGGAAGAATGGAATACTGGTCTAACAGGAGAAGGTGAAGACCGTCAAACAGAAGAACGAAAAAAAGAACGAATGCTTCAACAGAAGAGAAATCGAAGTGTAGAACAAATAGAAGGTCATATAATGGAACCGATGGATATCACAACCAAAGAAGAAAATCGAACACTACAACGTAAAGATCAAACACTAGAATGGAAGGAAAACGGAATAAGAGGAGAAAATAATATAATAGAACAAAAGAATGGAAGAAGAGAAATTAGAAGAAAGGGAGATAATAAAATAATACTAGGGAAGGAGAGCCGACCACTAGACCATCTGGAGAACAGATATAAAGAAAGAATAACAGAAGGAAAAGATGGTCGATCAGCAGAAGGAAAAGAGATCAGAATAAAGAAGGGAGAGAATGATCGAAAAGAAAACGGAGGAAACTTTAGAACAGGAAAAGAAGACGATGAAACTGCGCAAAAGAACGTAAACCGAGGGAAAGAACGGTATGTCAAGAAGAAAGACAGAACGAGAGATGACGAAACAGAAAGAAACGAAGTAAATGAAAAATCACTGAAATACAGAATGCAACGAGAATTAAGATACACGGAAGCAGACGAAGACGAACTAGGGGGAGGAAGATATGACGAAACAGGAGATAACTACGAAGTGGAAGACGGAAATTATTACAAAAGTGAGGAAATGTATTACGGATCGAGTGGAGAATCAGTTAATGAAACAAGCGAACGAGGAAGCAGAACACCGAGCAATCAAAACAATAAACAAACAAGCAAGAGAACATACGGACAAATGGGCAGGCAAAACAAGAGGCGAAAAGGTGAACAAAGGCACCAACAAATGGATAGATGGAACAGTGAAAATACAGGAGGAAGAAGTATAAGAGAGAGAGAGGGGAACGGTGAACTCACACATAGAAACGACAGGAGAGGAGGGGAGGAGTCAGGAAGCCGAGCAGAGACTGGCTACCTAGAGTCGATCCCACTCAGACAACGTTACACGCTCGACAGGTGAGGTTATACAACTACTGTTGCCTGTTTGTGTGTTGTGGTTTTAGTGCTTTGGTGTGGTTATGGTGATATTTTGTGATGAAGTCTTGTGGCAGTAAAAGTGGTGTTTTGCAGTTATGGTGTGGGTGTGTTTTTGTGGCAGTGTTGTGCTGTGAGAGTGGTGTCGTGGTAATTGTGTTGTGTAGTTGTACGATTGTTTTGACATATTGTGCTGGTATTAGCTTGCTGTGGTGACAGTGTTGTGGTGGTGATAATAGTCGTGTGTTGTGGTGGTGATAATAGTCGTGTGTTTGTGGTGGTGATAATAGTCGTGTGTTGTGGTGGTGATAATAGTCGTGTGTTGTGGTGGTGATAATAGTCGTGTGTTGTGGTGGTGATAATAGTCGTGTGTTGTGGTGGTGATAATAGTCGTGTGTTGTGGTGGTGATAATAGTCGTGTGTTGTGGTGGTGATAATAGTCGTGTGTTGTGGTGGTGATAGTAGTGTTTTGCGGTGGGCTGAAGTTACCCGTATACTGCAGTGAATAACCGAGGTAACTAGCATTCTGTAGTGATGGATATAAGAGTACTTTCGTCTCTGACGTGTGCTAAAAGAATACTCTGGTATTTTTGTGTATGCGAGCAAAGTACTCGTGATCACGTTATATGTGTATAATTCCACCATTGTGCTTCCATGAGAGAGTTTAGAGGTGAGTGTAGGTCAGCGTAAATTAACTAGCTCGAATTTAAAATTATAGAGTTGCCAAGGCAAACAAAAAGACTTTTGTTTGCTGTTTTGTGATTTGCGAATAATTTTGTGGACGAGAGACACAAGACAACGTTTTGCTCTAAGTTGAGCTTCATTGGCTTGGAAAATATGTTCCCTTAGATAAAAAATTGCTAAATTTAGGCTTGATCTACATACCTGTTTTGTTCACATATTGCACCTGTCAATGTTACGACCTCTCCTACCATGAAGGATTTTATTAGACTGGTTTATTTCACTGGATGCAGTGTTGCTTCTATTACCATCAGGACTTTTCAACATAAATATTTTACATAAACACTTTTCCAAACAAAAAAAAAAAATTCTTTATCCACAAAATTAAGTGGAGTCGAATCACCAACATTTCAAAAGGACCTGGAGTAGATTAATGTGATGTTCCTTCAAGGACCATAACATCTGTTTTACTTCCATATGGGCCTTTCCCTAGAATATTAAGATGGACAATGGGTTATAACCTTACTAATTAGGTCGCAAGTTAGCCTTGTGATTAACTCAGTAATTGTTTATCTAGGAATATTGCTGTATCTAACAAGATCTTTCAAGGCCCCAGTGTTGACTATTGGCCGACCTGAAATGTACGAGTATCTTTCACGGTGCGATAACGAGATAAAAACCTCAATTACTGGGAGCGTTGAGGTTTCATAAAAACGTGTTTACCCTGGAACAAGCAGGAGGGAGAGATACATGATTTATATACACCTGGAAAATCCTAGAGGGACTAGTACCGAACTTGCACACGAAAAAATCACTCACTACGAAAGCAAAAGACTTGGCAGACGATGCACCATCCCCCCAATGAAAAGCAGGGGTGTCACTAGCACGTTAAGAGCCATACAATAAGTGTCAGGGGCCCGAGACTGTTCAACTGCCTCCAGCACACATAAGGGGGATTACCAACAGACCCCTGGCAGTCTTCAAGCTGGCACTGGACAAGCACCTAAAGTCAGTTCCTGATCAGCCGGGCTGTGGCTCGTACGTTGGTTTGCGTGCAGCCAGCAGCAACAGCCTGGTTGATCAGGCGCTGATCCACCAGGAGGCCTGGTCACAGACCGGGCCGCGGGGGCATTGACCCCCGAAACTCTCTCCAGGTAAACTCCAGGTATATACCACTGAAGAGATCTTAAGTGGTAGGTCGAATTATACAAAACCACTTTCAATTTTATTTTCCCCAAGTGGATTTTCCTTCAAGGAGGTAAAGGGACACTTTAATGTTCCTGTTCCTTGTACCAAGGAACAGGAACGACCATACCCATGAATATTACTTTCCATATGGGACCGTTTTTTTGCCACTGACCCATATTAATAATAATGTTTGTACATCCAGTGGGCTTTTCATAATCTTTTACTAATTTAGTCGCAAGTTTGCCTTGTAGATTAACTAGTAATTGTGTTTGTTGAGTAGTATTAGGCTGTTACTAACAAAGATCTAGTAAAATATGGCTCTCTTCCCTTCCCGTTTCTGTGTGACTAGTTAATGGGCCAAGTCGGACTGAAATGTCATCTGAAGTTTTATTCTATGTACGTGTTAGTTGCGAATAAAAGTATAATTATCAAGTTATGTACGTGAGTTACTTACATACCAAAATCTTTGTTTACCCAAACTTTATTAAAAGTACGAGTTATGGAGAAAGACGCTATAACAAAAAGTTTATTGGAACAAAGTTTCGCTGCGAGTTTGACTTTACAGAGCTCGTTTAACAGAGCGCAGAACGTTGGAAATAAATGGTATATAATACCGACACAGTGGAATTGTAGAAACTTAAATCACTCACAACGAAAGCAAAAGACTTGGCAGACGATGCAACATCCCCCCAATGAAAAGCAGGGGTGTCACTAGCACGTTAAGAGACCATACAATAAGTGTCAGGGGCCCGAGACTGTTCAACTGCCTCCCAGCATACATGAGGGATGATTACCCATAGACCCCTGGCTGTCTTCAAGCAGGCACTGGACAAGCACCTAAAGTCGGTACCTGGCCAGCCGGGCTGTGGCTCGTACGTTGGATTGCGTGCAGCCAGCAGTAACAGTCTGGTTGATCAGGCTCTGATCCACCAAGAGGCCTGGTCACAGACCGGGCCGCGGGGGCGTTGACCCCCGGAACTCTCTCCAGGTAAACTTGAGCAGTATAATGTGATCCCTTATTGACAACGTTTCGCCCACATAGTGGGCTTTATCAAGTCGAACAGATCTGTTTGTGACCTGATAAAGCCCACTGCGTGGGCGAAACGTTGTTAATAAAGATCACATTATACTGCTTAAGTGTTTATATTTCCAGAGCACAGAACGTTGTCCCCCAAAAAACTTCTTGTTCTTCGTGTATAATTTCTTCACTAATATCAACAATACGCCAATTGAATCGGAAAAATTTTGTTTGGATTTCCAATATAAAGTATTCCTATGCTAAAATTTATGTATGTTAGTCATAACATTGCTCTGGATTAACCACACTGTGTTGGCGAGCAGCACTAGGTTGTGGTCACCCCGGAGGTTGACCCGCAGCATTAGTGACACCGGTGTAGAATACCGTGGCTCGACGCTGGAAAAGAAAAAGTGGCACCATGGCCTCATTCAACGTTCTGCCAGTGCTGATCGTTTGCTCTACGCTCCTCATCGGTGGTACTACGCTAGGATGGCGAAACGTAAGTCCTCTTAAAATCAGTCTTTCCATTTTTTAAGCTTATTGTAATTTTTACCTTGTGGCCTCTTGTGCATAAGAATTTTATAATATTTTAGAAATAAGATTTAAAAATGACGGGAGTCAAAATAATTTATATTTTTTTTTTCAAGTAGCAGTCCATAGGCTATTTTCTTATTTAGCTTCTTTGAGTGTAGTTTTTCAAGTAGCGGTATATAGATAAATCTCTTTAGCTGCTGAGACTGTGTGGAGAGGTGTTCCCCATGCCCCAAGTTTGAAGTCAATACTGTATTTTACTGCTATGCATTGCTTCTATACCGGGGCCACTAAGGTACGGTAGTCCCTGGACCCCGAGTGTTCCTAAAGTACTTGTGTTTTCTGCAACTCGCTCAGCCCCTTCAGGAGAGGAGGACCAGGACGATGACGGGGAGGATGATGAGGACAGTAAGGAGACCCTTGTAACTCTCCCCACAGTTCTGCTTGGTGGTGGCTAGTACCGCTTCTGCTTCTTCCCTTCTGTTTAAAGCAGTGGGGGTTGTCATGATGAAAGTGAAGGGCTCTTGATCTAAAGTACTACTACTACTACTACCCTTACCTCAGCCTTGATTACTCCCATTCATCAAAGGCTATGTATGACCTTAGCGTTTTCAACTAGTTTGTTAATCGCCTTTCCAAGTATGAGGAAATGCTAAATCCATAGGCGTCGTACAGAGCCTGGGAATGGGCAGTAATCAGGATTGATCCGAGAAAAAGTAAGGTGGCTCTTATTCCTTGGATGAAGAGCCATTTAACATCAAGGCACCCCCTTGAAGGGTCACCTTCCTAAAGTCCTTTTCTCTCGCTCTTTGTACTTTCCTTATTTTCTTTCTTGCTGTGTTCATTTCGCTTTTATTCAGTTAACCTCTATAGTTCTGCCTTGTGTTTCACCCTCTGTAATTTACCCAGAGTTTAGTATTTCTTCTGAGCGGGCTTTTTCTCTACCCTTCCCTTCCTTGCCCTAGTTGCTTCAGTTGCCCCACGCGTCTCACCCTGGACTGCATGCTGACAGCCGTCATCACGCACGGAATCACATTACCTATCTAATGTAGCCCACCACAAGGCTGTTACCCCCCCCCCCCTCCCATACACTGGTGGATTAAGAGCAGGCAAAGCTCTGGAACATCATATTGATGTGTACTGTATTGACATGTGTTTCAGAATTCATTCATGCTTATTATTGTTAAAAATTACGCATACTAAAATCACACACAAATAACCCGCACATAGGAGAGGGGAGCTTACGACAACGTTTCGGTCCGGCTTGGACCATTTAGAAAGTCACACTTTTTAACTTTGTAAATGGTCCAAGTCGGACCGGAACGTCGTCGTAAGCTCCCCTCTATGTGCGGGTTGTCTGTATTTTGCCTTTTTGTTTCATACTATAATTAGAAAATATTCATATATTTCCTTTCAATCCCTAGTTTTTGTATACCACATATAGCCTTGTGGGGCCTGGGGCAACTGCCCTAATTCTTTTAATCCTCCGTTGCCTAACGCAGACTGGTAAGGGGGCACTTAATCCAAGGAACTGGACTGGTCCTCCCTTTACTTGGATCGAATTTGAATGCCTCCCATTTCATATGACCACCACGGGCTTAGTGCTTTCCTCTGGCTGCAATAAAATCATCAATCAGTTTTATTTCTTTGCAGGTAGTACATTGAGGTTATGTATTTACAATAAGTTACGGTGCAAAGAGAGCCTCTTATGCCTAGGCATTATGGGCAGACATTTAATGGCTTACTAACTACTAAATACGAAAGAATTTATCATAGTTTAAGTTATACAATAGTTTCAATAGTAAATATTTAAATTATATTATGGGAATATAACATTGTGACTTGCTGAAAGTTTACGGTATGAGAATGCTACAATTGGGTGTAGGGCAGTACTGTTTTGGGAAGGTATTTGTATTATTATGTAGTATTAGTCAGTGTATGAACTTGGGCGTCTGATGCATCCTATGAAAAGGATTAAATTTTTTTGTGTGTGTGCTATTGGCTGTGTGGGTGTAAGTTTTGTGGTGTACTGTGCAACAGCAGGAGATTGCATATTTTAGTCTGCTGTAGAATTTTAGTACTGACGTTTCTCCCCAAACGAAACATTCTATTGGTTTTAGGCTGTGTGAAACTTTGGGTACCCTGCCCCTCCCCCCCCTTTAGTCACCAGTACCTAGTGATACTTAGTTACTCTTCTCTTTCTATACTTGCTACCACTTGATTACCTGTCGTATAGTCATGCCTGAGGCTCTTAGTCTACTGGATGGTACTGTACGAAATGCTTTCTTACATTAGAGGTAGAAACACTTTGTTATTGTGTCAAGTAAGTGAGATGAAATTTACCATAGGTTCTCAAGTAAGCTAGCCAGGAAAACTTGGCAATATTTTAATGCGTCATTTATATCGGAATCATTTTTGCTGTTCTCAAGTTGGCTGATGTTTACGCTGTTTATTTCGACTTTTTTGTATATCTATTTTAAGAGAATACAATTCCTCTGCTCCTTCATGCAATAACCAAAGTGATGTCCTCTTTCTTTCTCGCCGATTTTATTGTTAAATATAAAATTTCCTTAGGAACCCTCTCGCTTTTTTTTTTTTGTATTTGCCTCTTGCTGCTCTCCCCAAGTTCCTACTTTCTGGAATCTCCCCTGATTTCTCGTCGATGACTGTAAACATTCTGTTTAGTTCTTCTCTTCCTTTCATTCTTTCTCAGTTTCCCCTTCCTTACTGATGTCTCTAGCAACTTCTCTTGTGCCTTCTTAGTTTTTTTTTTCTCTTTCATTGATCGGTTCTCACTTCTTTCCATTCTCATATACACGAGACAATCAGAAAGTAATTAGACCACAGAGTCACTGGCCCTTAGAGGCTCTTATTCAATTTTTTTTTTTTTGTCGGATTATGGAAAAAATCCAAATCCACTCTTACTGGTTCATCCTCTTGTGTGTGTCCTTACTGCTACCATCAGGTTTTTTTTCTTCGGTGTTACCAGTTCTCTTCAGTTAATTTCTTTGTGAAAATCTCCAGTGATAAGTATCATTTTCTTTGCTTTAATTACTGTTTTTTGCTGCTTCCTCCGCTGAGCTGTATAGTCCTTGTGGCTTAGCGCTTCTTTTTGATTATAATAATAATAATAATAATGCTTCCTCCAAGATGTGTTCTCATTCTCTTCCGTATTCTTTTGTTCTGCGGAGGGTTATATAATTCCTTATTTCTTTGTTTCCATTGTCCTTGCTGCAAAATTCCCTAAATTTTCCTTACATAGGTCATTTGTCTCTCCAACAGCATGTTAGTGGCGCTGTGCTTAACATTATTTTACTCGTAAACCACACATTGTACACTACGCAACGAAAATAGTATATTTGATTAGTACCCCGTTTCCCACCCGTCTGTCTTCCCTTACTCAAGGTTATTCCTTGGGAAATAAATTTTTCTTATAAGGTTCATCTCTGCTATATCTTAAATATCTGGTTATGATTCCGTGTGTGCGAGAATGTATGTTACCAGAACTTCATCTATATATTGAACCTGTCTCCATGTTACTCTTCCTGCCCCTTGCCCTTGTATGACAACTAAAAACTATCACATTTGTCAAGAAGCTTTTGTATGTTAGAACTGCCACTATAATAACCACGGCATCGTCACTGTCACGAGAGCGTAGTCCATGTGCTGGTGCAATCAATATTGATAAAGCGTGCCACAACAGCAGCAGCGGAAAGTCTTCCAACTTGCTTGTTCCGCAAACTGTTGGCTCTCGCTTGTGCTTCCCTCTAGTAACGTGTCATCCTGCATGCGCTCTCATAAAGTATTCATCATTCTTATGCATGTACCTCTGCCAAGGGCGGTTCCTTCTAAACAAGGCTGGAAAACCTCCCCTTTCTCTTCCTTCCCTCCAGATAGCCACCCCATAGTCCGCTAAACCATCAATCCCCTTGTATAGAAATTCTGGCACCGCCTCTGGCATCATTTTACTTGATTAGATTGTCAATTTTTTACGAAGGTAAATAAACCATAGATATACTGTCGTGCAGGTTAATATTGCCTTCGTTAAAATAAATGAAATTGCATACGGTTAATTTTATTTTAATTGCTGCAAAGGTAATCACTTTAAAGGAAAGATTTCAGGAAGTTTGCACTGGCTAATAAATTCAAAATTATTACAAATCTCGTTGGTGTTTCCTGACCGAATTTTGAACAACTGGAAAGTTGCATGTACTGTTACAATGATTTTTATTAAATATGCTATGTAAGCTAATTTTTTTCAATGTTAATAATTTTAAGTGACAATGGTAAAACTAATAAGCTCTAGTAAGAAATAACTGGCTCTCGTACTTTAAGCTTAAACTGTCATTTTGCTCAAACCTGTGTTTATATGCTTGTCTTTCGTTGATTTTGGCCAGCACTCTATTTTTCAATCGCAAACCTGAAAAACTAGATGTAGTATGTGAAAGCAATAGAGATGATCCTGAAAATTAACAAACCCCTGATGCACTATAAACCCTTGATGAAAACAACCCCTCCAGTCACACACCTTCTAAACACAAAGGCAACCGCTTCACGATCTTCTGAGCCTGTTGGGGTGTAACGCTTGCTCGCCTAGACATCATCTCTTGCTAAGGGCTAACATACAAAACTAGGAAGATTACGTCTAGTTGAGGGGGAGTTCCGGCACACATGCATTACCTTACCTCTACAACCACTTCCCCCATTCCTTCTTCCTTTCTTTTTCCCGTTTTTGTCCCCCTCTCATACATATATAATATATGTAAGACAAGCCACTGGGGGTGGAAATCTTTAGCTAAGATTTCCACCCCCTGTGACTTGTCTTGCATAGTTAAGATAGCCTGTCTGCGACTGTTTGCAATATATGTGTATATAAATACTGTTCCCTCACCTTTGTATATAAGTGTTACTTGTAAATATCCAGTCGGACATAAACTTCGTTATGAGCTTCTCTCTCCTATGTGCGGGTTATTTGTGTGTTGTCCCAGTTAGATACTTGACTTTTTTGTTCTTCATGCACTCAAGCTTAAATAAAGCCATTCTGTGAGGGAGAAATCTGCAGACATCCGCCGTGGTACATCCAGCAAACTTGAGATGCACAAGGACGCATTTGGATAAAAAAAAAAATAGAAATGCGTGTTACTGCTTAGTTCCTGCATTGAGTTAATCAACATATCCTTTAATTTCTTTTGGCCCATTGGCTTCTTTACCATCTTAAGTACCAAGAAATTCCCTTGACTAATAAAAAGCAAAAGATAAAAGTATTGCTTATGTTTTGCTTTAAAATTAAACCGAAAACAAATCCTAATAAATTTTCTTACCGAAAAAAAATATCGCCGATTAAGACTAATCTTTGTTTCTTTAATAACAAGCCATAAAAGCAGTCAAAGGTGCCTTAGTTTAGTTAT